AAACTTAATCAAGGAAACAAACAAGAAGGTCAGAAAACAATAGAGACACTAGAAAGCAACAATCTGAAATGCTAAATCATAAACTTGGGGCAAGCTAGAAGGTTAGATACCAAATATAAACTAGTAATGAATAACTAGCAGTTGGGAGCTTGAGGAGAATCCACAATAGTGAGCGGGGAGGTAAGGAAAGAGGGGAACTGAAATACTGAAGGAAGTGAACGGTGATAGGTACATTACTTGCGCCGTGAGCTCTTGTTAAACGCAGTGCATGTGGACTGCAATAATAATAATAATAATACAATACAATCAGTACAGTGAGAATTGCACTAAGAAGAGTTACTCACAGTCCAGAACATACAAAGAACAACCCAGAACAGTACACAAAAAGTTGTATTGCGCAATATAAGTATAAATATAAATGGATTACACAAGTCCCTGGCATATATTACACAAAAACAGTTGTAAACGGGAAAGCCAGATGTAGCAGACAGTTTACTGTTCAGTCCAAAAACAGGTCAATGTCAATGTTGCCCCTGCCCAGAAGTGGATGCGTTGTACAGTCTTATGGCAGAAGGCAAGAATGACCTCCTGTAGTGCTCCCTGTCGCACCGTGGATGGATCAGCCTATTGCTGAACGTGCTCTTCATTTCTACAAGCATTTCCACATGTCATAGAGGGGATGGGAGACATTGTCCATGATGGCCTCTAGTTTGGACAACATTCTCTTCTCAGCCACTACCTCCAGGGGGTCCCAGTGACTGAGCTTGCTCTTCTGATGAGTTTGTTCAGCCTAAATTCTAATTCTAAAATTCAAAAAAGTATGTGTTTTTTTACTGTGATAATGAGCGCAAATATTCATAGAAAAGGTTAAAACATGAAAACTTTTTATGAAGTGTATAAACTTAATATAGCAAGAAGGAGCACATAAAAACTTCTCCAAAATAACTACAGTATGTTATCAAATGAAAGACTTTAATGCTTAAAATGTTTATGAAGAAAGTGGAATACTGGTGTGTATTTTTTATTTAAACTACCAATACCAGCCATACACAGTTCACATAATATGTTTATGTTCCTAAATTAATAACGTTTATGACCTTCAGATGCATTATGCTCCTCTTCTTTTTATGCTCAGCTACTAAAATTTCTCTTAAGTTGTAAAAGTCCATATTAGTATTCAATATGAAGCGGATTTAAACATGCACAGTAAAGAGATTAATGAAGCAACCAATGAACCACGAGTCCCACCTGTCGGTCATGTTGGCCAGCCAATCACCTGTTTTTCATGCATAAAGTCTTTATTGAAAGTCTTAATTGAACACATTGTGATATATAAAAATAAAATGTCATGTAATGGAAAGTTACTGAGAAAAGGTGTTTTATCCTAAAAATGTTGTTTACGGACAGAGCTGTGCTGCAGAAGCAGCTGGATACTTAGAACAAAGTGTGATAGCACCCAACTCGTCAAGGACACGGGATGTTTTAATAATGTTTATATCTACTGCTTGAAGAAGGGAGTATGAGAAACTATTTGAATAACTGCTCTTCTTTGCTTAAAGCAAAAACCTATAAGGAATGGAAAATTACTGCTTTGCCTGTCCTTGAAGTGTTGCATCAGCTTAAAAAATATATAAAACAAGGGCTCTCCCTGCTTGCTTTTGAATCAGCTTTCACTTCTCTGCACAGACGGGTGATGGCTTTTTCCCATATTGCAATATGAAGTGAATGAGAATACCTCTCCTGGCTCTTAGATAAAATTCCACGACAGTCAATATATTTTACATAATATTTACTACTTTATTTTGAAAAAAATAATCGTTTTTGTTGCAAGAAAAACACATGCCTTGACTGGGAATCAAACACTGGCTGCTGGGTTCAACGGCATGCACCTAATCCACTCTCCCAAGTAATCATTTAGAGAGTGTGCTGAAACAGGTTAAAATGTTTCTAATACTTCAAGCTATATAAATATACATAAGAGGGATACTGTTGTGTATTTTTTATTTAAACTACAACTGCCAGCCAATTTATATTTCTAAATTGATATAATTTATGACGTTCAGAGACATTATGCTCCTGTTAGGCAGTAAGAGCTTAGTAGCAGCCTGGGGTTTTCTGGATGTTAGGCCTCTGAAACACCTTGTTTGTAAATACTGTACATAGAGTAACTTGTGTGTTGTATCTTTTGTTGTGTGTAGTGTAGTTTATGTCTTGTCATTGTAATAAGTACTGTATTTTTTAAAGTGTGGATTATTACTCCTCTCACCGAATCTGTGCCAGAGAACAAAGCATTCACATGCCTCTAATTATACCAACCACTCTGGTATATTCTAAAGAAATCAATTACAATTGGGTGTTACGAATAATTATTTTACTTATTGACTTAACTGCTCGGTCAATTCCTGATGTTCACCATTTTTGTATCCCCCATTAGTAACGGTAATGGTGAATATAATTGCAGTTCTACTGTTTATCGCCTAATATTGCGATAATGATACATGTGTTTTGTACTGGGTGATGTGGTTGTTTGGGTTACTCACAAGTTCAGGCGTTTTCACATTGTGCATTACTGTGTTCATTGTTTTAAAATAAATCACAATTTTTATTTATTCGTAGAATAGTTTGTCTTACATATTGTCACACTGTTAGAATATATAGTGCAATGAGGAAAACAATGATTTGTCCCAATTGGGATTTTTTAAGCAAAGCTTTCTCATCTCCCAACAATCTATACACGCAAAACACATGAAGTCATATCTAAAGATACACCAGAAAAGTAGTGTACATGTCAATGATCTGCATTATTATCGTATACCATACTGTATATACACTGTATTTAGAGTATGATAACCTATGGTTTTAAAGCCACTACAGTACAGTATGTGTGAAACACATTTTTGTAATCAAAATGTAAAGTGAAATTGTTTCTTGATAACTTTTTGCTGAAAGTTGCTGTGACAAGACAGAATATAGATTTTCTCAATGCAGATGTAAACCTGAAAGAGGCACATTATGTTAACAGCAAGCTATTATAAATAAACAATTTCTTTATATTTCGGGATGTGTGAAAAAAACAAAGTAATGGTCTGCCTGGGTTGCAGGCAAGTATCTAAATCAGTAGTTCTCAAACTTTTTGGACCAACTACCACCCCTGATCAAACCAAAGCATCCAAGTACCACCTACAAGTTATCTTCTCATAGGAACCCCAGAAAATCTCAATGACCAACATGAGCACACGTGCATGCACACACTCACATACACATATAATAAATATTATAATAATAAACTTTATTTGATAAAGCGCCTTTAAAGGTGGCTTCTCAAACCTATTTACAGAATGACAAAAGGAACAACAACAATTAAAAATAAACAATAAAGAAAGCACCATTTCAGTGAGAGGGGTAAGCATGTTTAGTTGAGCAAAGCAAATGTGAATTAATTGGTCGAGCCTTGATACAATTTATAACAGAGTCTTACAGATTTTAAATCGTCAGGCATTTTCTTGACTGCAAAGGCCTCGTGGTGGATGCTGCAGTTCATATCTGTCTATCTCTTAATTTGTGCAAATACATCGCTATGTCGGCTTGTCATCGCTTTAGAACAGTCTATACAAATTTTATCCAGTCAATGCCATTCTCTTCAATAAATTCATACAGAAGCTGAAATATGTGCTCCCCTGTAGTTCCTATTGGTAGCGGCTTACAGAACAGAAAGTCCTCATGGGACATGCCCTCAAATTCGTATCTAACATAAACAAAGTTCTTCACAAATAATGTGGGACTTACCTGCTTTAGCAATCCACAAGTTTGCATTTTTCCCCGTTTCCATTTCAAGAGTCCGTCTCAGAAGTTAAAATAAGTTTTTATTTAATGCGCATGGGAGTGAAACACATAGACGCTCGGTGTATTTTTCTCAAATTAATCTAGAACAGTTCAAATATTTGTCTGTTTTTCTGTTTATTTTTCTGTATCCATCACGCTTTCCTATGCTCACAAGATTGCCAGTGTTCATAGTACACATTTCTATGCTTTCCTGTGCTTACAACATTGGCATTGTTCCAAAATCACGCACATTCTCCTACCTCCCTATTTGCTGGAGATAACTTTTTTAAATACAATTGGCCACTTACGTTCATAGCATGCATGCCTATAGAATTACATTGTAGCCCTTGTGTCCACTCAAGTATAAGCACACGCTGTATGTAGGCTGCTTATTCGACACAAACTAATTTTATTAAAATAGAAAATATGAAAACCCATCCCAATTTTTCAGTGCACACATGTTCCAGGGTCATATGGCGTACCTCCTGGCGGCACTCCAGTACGCGTACCAAAGTTTGAGAACCACTGATCTAAACCATTGTACTAAACTATCATTTGGGTGCTTCATGATACATTATGGTGTATGAGTGTTTTGTTGTCCATTACAACTACAAGGATGGAAAAAGTAGTTAAAACGAACATCAAAATGTTTCCAAAATATCTACAAGTGATATTTGTGGCTGCAAAATTTCTTTAGTTAAATGATTCCATATTAATATTTCCTGTCAAGTGGTATTAAATCAGTACTTCTACATTTTTTTTTACAACAATAACATTGTCAAGTACAGTGTTCTTATTACATATTCTTAAAAAAGGTTAAAACATTATAGCTTTTTATGAGGTATATAAACTTGATATAGTTAGAACAAGCACATCCAAACCTTTCCAAAATAACCACCATAAGTTACCATGTTAAATATTTTGATGCATAAAATGTGTATGAAGAAAGTGGAATACTGTAATGTCTTAAAAGTCTTTCTATGACTTTTGTTAGCTTAAGATAAAGAATAGAGTGTTGAACTTTAAATGTTTAATGTTCTTTATGGGATTTTAGAGACGGGTACCAAATTGCATTTCCTAAGTATTTTTTAAAATTAGGAGTAACACATTAGTCACAGCTACCATGCAATAAGAGAGTTAATTTTGAAACAATGTTTTTTTTTTCTTTATATTTCCAGGTAGTGGATTTATACTGGGGAATAGATCCAGAGGAATGGGACAATCCAGAGCTACAGCGGATGAGAATGAAGCTCCTGGAAGAGTGCTTGAAAACATCTTCAGGTCCATGTTTTGTTGTGGGTATATTTAGATAAGTTTTTACATTTCATCCCTTGCACATTTTTTGATTGACTTGGTCAATGTGACTTTTCTTCTGGAAAAGTTATAAAAAGTTAATGGTTTACAGATCTTTTGAATTTGGACATAAGTTCCAGGAAGAATCACTTATTTTAAAATGTAAGATTCCTCTCCCACACAATTTATTTATTTATTTCCTACTTGTTTTTACAATTTTTGTCACATCCACTCTGTACAGATGCAGCCATTCAAAATGCATGGTAAAAACCCGTAATGCGCAAAATTATCTACAGTTTATCATGTTATACCGCAGTACATGATTGGCTGGCCAGAATGACCAACAGGTGGCACTCGTGGTGCATTGGTTGTAAGTGAAATGATTGCTTAATTTAATCTGTTTACTGTGTATGTTTAATCTGCTTCATATTGAATATTAATATGGAATTTTACAACTCAAGGGAAATTTTAGTAGCTGAGCATAAAAAGAAGAAGAGCATAACATGTCTGAAGGTCATAAACAATATTAATTTAAGAATATAAACATATTATGTTAACTGTATATGGCTGGTATTAGTAGTTTAAATAAAAAATACACACCAGTATTCCACTTTCTTCATAAACATTTCAAGCGTCAAAGTCTTTCATTCGGTTACATACTGTGGTTATTTTGGAAAACTTTTTACATGCTCCTTCTGACTATATTAAGTTTATGTACCTCATAAAAAGTTATGTTTTAATCTTTTCTATGAATACGTGCGATCATTATCGAAATATTTTTTTTATAATTTGATTAATAAGGAATATAATATGGAATCACGTATCTAAAGAAATTAATAACTATATAATTATATTCATATAGCTCAAATTATTACAGTAGTACACTTTCTTTGAAAATATCTGCATCAGTTGGACTCATTCACCCGCGATTACTTGGAAACCTTTTGCCTGCCTTTTTCATTTATAGCTTAAATGGTCTCTCAATGTTCACACTCCCAGTAAAATAAAGAACAGTTTTTCGCATTATCACCTCGCACCAGGGGGGAAGGAAAAGTGCCGGTGGTCATTTAATTATTTCACTCTCCATCACTCTGCCCAACACCCGTGGAGAGACAAAGTTGATTAAAACTCATTCAAAAGGGTGTATTGTGTTTTAACATGCTGTGCTTAACAGATCCGCTTGTAAGAGTAAGGTGACTTTCAGCTCCATTATATAAAGCTACAGTACAGTCAGGTTTTAAATTCTTCAAGCAAAATTAGCTGTTTGTCAAAATCTGCTACTTTGCAAGCAGTACACGACTTCTCAAAAGGTATCTTTTGTCTCTCGTGCAAACTTAACAAAGGTTTATTTTTTATAATTCCAAAATTTGAACAGTCCTCAGGGACTCATTATAGTATTGCAGCGAATACGGTTCGCGCAGGAAAATCAAAATACCGCCCCAGCCGGGTCTCACCTCCCGCTGTTACAAAGCTGTATGGTTTCAATGTATGTATGAAATATCTTTTCTTACTCCAGTTATTAATCCAATCTATTTTTACTCATCCAGCTATGTAAAAAATATAGCCAAAAGGATCGCTGTAAACCTGAAAGAGACACATCGGGTTCACAATAAGCTATAATAGTGGACTACATTTGTGTATTTGGCTCTATGAGAAACAAACCGAAAGTAATGCTGTGATTGCGATTTGAACTGCCTGAGTGCAGCTCACTACATTACAGTGCTCATTACCACTACAAGGACAATAGAAGTTTTTTTTAATGTCAAAATGTTTCCAAAATGTCCATTATACTTAGTTACACGCTTCCATATTAATATAACTATCAAGTGATGTTAAAAAACTACATTTATCTTTCTACAATAACAGCAAGTTGTGTTATTACAATGTATTCTTAAAAAAGGATAAAACGTTCTTACAGTATGAAGTACAGAATATAAGCTTAATAATGTTAGAGCATGCACGTTAAAACCAGAACCCATATAAGTTACCAAGTTAAAGACTTTGATGAATAAAATATGTATGCATAATTAAAATATTTATGATGGAGGTGGAAGGTTGTATACTTTTGTCCAACTGAGCACTCTTGCATTTATAAAATGTACAGACTTTTTAATGTTTTATGATTAACATGCTGTAATACACAGTTTAAAACTATTAAAAGTCTAAAGAGTATACAACTTAAATTCTTAATTGGAAGAAGATTGTCCCTCAGCAGTGACCAGGATTCGAAACTGCGTTTGCTACTGACAGCTCAAATGCTGTACATGAGACATTAAGCTTTATTAGCTCCACCTGGCAGTTTTACAAGGTGCTTCTGGATACTATTATCATATTTCAATTAACATGCATTATGATGCGATATATTGTGTCACGCCCACCGCGTTTTAATGCAGCGTACCTCGATCATTTTGAATGGCTCGATCTGTATCTCAGCCTCCACTAAAGAAACATCTTCTCCATAAGGGCTTCAATATTTTATTTTTTCCAATGTACTCTTTATACATTGTAGATTCTTTTAGTTACAATTAGGAATCACTATTTGGAGTTTGGTGGCAAGAAAACATACAGTAGCATTCCCATCCTCTGTTTTCCATCATAAATGTCTTATTGGTAATTTCCCATTCTGTGCTTCACTACAGTTTATTTAAATGAGAATGGTTTTCATTCATTCCAGTACTTAAAATACTTACAGCTATACTTTTCTATTACAAGCTTTTAACAAAAAGGGACTTTAATGTTATAGATGAAGAAATGTCCTTGACAAATATAAAATAGACTTTCCAAGATCATAATTATGAAATGAGTAATTATATTTGAAGATAGTATATAGTATCTAGTGTACACTCTATCTTGAGACATTATGGATACATTTTTACAAATTTTAAGGACATAGTTAAGTTTTGGAAATGTTTGGTTTCTTCATTATCAACTTTTGTAGAAGAAGAAGATATTATCAGTTCTTATCTAGTACTCTCCTTCTAATGCGTTTTAATGCTGGTGTCTGATAGCAACAAAGATGTACCTGCAACCATTAAAGAATTACAGATGCAGCCATTCAAAATGCACGGTACAAATGCAACTACCCACAAGCCACCGCAGTGCACCGCGGTAAGTGATTGGCTGGCCAAAATGACCGACAGGGGCACTTGTGGCTCCTCAATGAAATACAGTAATGTTTATGTTCCTAAATGAATATCGTTTATGACCTTCAGATGCATTATGCTCCTCTTCTTTTAATGCTCAGCTACTAAAAGATTTCCCTTTAGTGGTAAAATTCCATATAAATATTCAATACTAAGCGGATTAAAATGTGCACAGTAAAGAGATTAAATTATTAATTTTTTTCACTGCCAACCAATGCACCACGAGTGCCCCTGTCGATCATTTTGGCCAGCCAATCACTTACCACGGTGCCCTGCGGTGGCTTGTGGATAGTTTACCATATCGCGGTTTTGTAGCGTGCATTTTGAATGGCTGCATCTGTATCTATCTAAACTATGGGACAGAATTCTGGGGTCTCCCTATACCAGAGATTATGGTTGGGCTTCAGAATGGTGATTGGCTGACACCATCTGACACCCCTCTGATTGGGGAAAAAAGATGTGCTGATCTGCTCTACACACCAGGAAGTCAACAACATATGTTGTTTCTATTCAAAACGCGTATTTTAAAAGTTTAATTAAGAATTAAAAACCTTACAGCGTACACAGATTTCTAAGCTGAATAGGAGGAAGAAAATCACCCGTGTTTTATTTATTTTATTTTTATTTAGATTAAAAGTTCCCGTCACCCCCATTTCCATTTAAATCGCAAACCTGTGTTTAATTAAATGTCTTTTAACGTAAATCGTTACCTTTGTCTTCTGCATAATAATGTTAACCACTCTGTCCAGCAAATTAATAATGAACTTTATTTTATATAGCGTTTTAAATTAATAAATAATTAGATTGCTCATAAACCTAATCACTTATTCTACATAAACACAGCGTAATTGCTCTCTGAAAATGCTCTTTTTCTTTTAATTTAGGCTCAGATTTCAACTATAGATCATACACTAATTACTAGCAGTAAATACTGATGTTTTGCTCCCTCTTACCATAAAAATATTAAAAATAATGTATTGTAGCTGGGATGAACTTTTTTTCGAACGTGTCTCTACCTACTGCGACTCGGACACGGAATGGTTAAAGATGGCGACAACTCAGGCACCCAGAGATGGGGGGCATCTTTCCGCCTCCACAAACTAAAATGCCAAATAGGAGTAGTTTTTAATTCAGTTTGAATTATAACTGTATTTCTGTCTTCGTATTTGGCCAGGGCTTTAAAGAGAGGGTGCGCCAACATTTTTCGGTGCCGTCATCTGCGCTTTTAAGGTACCCCTGTCGCGGAAGAATTTGACCTCGGAACGTTTACCCAGCGTAATTATTGTGTTTCATTTCACTTTGACAGATTATCTTTAAATCAGTTGTTGTCAGAATATCCCCACCTCCAAACAAGAACAAAATTGCAACGATTTTATTAACTGGCTGTTTCAGTAACCTACAGTATGTATTTAAAGTAATAATTTAACAATATATGTAAATGTTTTAAGATACGTTTATGTTGTGAATGTCTGTAGATTGTATCTTATTTTTAGTTTTTGTTTTTTTTCACGTTAATTTTATAAGGGAATCTTGATTAAAATACTTTTATTTTTTCACAATCTGGTAATGCCAGACAGAATTCACATTCGCTGCAGCCAAATGGCCTTGCAGATCTGAAAATCAAGGAACAAAACAATTATCGCGCCCAGCTCCTGAATAGAATCACTTTAACATGCTAATGCATTGGTGTAACACTCTGTATCTACAGTACATTGTGAACAAACCGGTTTCACAGGTATTTTCAACCCTCAACCACTGTTGTTTCATCGGTTGTTATCCTGTAAAGCGCTTTGAGGAGCCACCTTTAAAGGCACTATATAAAATAACGTTTATTATTATTATTTTTAATATTGATCATA